AACAAGATTAACCCAAAAACCCTAAAACCAAATTGAGTAATTTACCATAAATAAATTCAGGTGTGAACAAGTGTGATTCAAATTCCAAAAATTTAAACCATATTCTCTGATACCAATTGGAAGATGTGGCATTCGCACAGTGCAAATCGACAATTTTTTATTTTTCCAAGTAGGGCTCAAGACCCATTAGATAAGCTGCCAAAATTTCCATGTCACATGTGAGAAACGTTCTTTTTTCAACAAGGATCGATTTTGGGAATTGAACAAAATCATATCTGATTGGATTTATGTATTTGGATGATAATTGATGATGTGCATTTTGGCAGCTCCCGGCTGGTAAGTGACTTGAATGCCTAGTTGAATAGTTCATAGTGGGAAAAGTGGCTCGGACATCTAGCTAAATAGTTCCTAATTGGAACATGGCTTGTATGCCTAGATGAATAATTCCTAGTTGGAAGGTGGCTTGGATGCCTAGCTGAATAATAATGAGTTGTATAGTTTACTAGGGCGACTTGTAAGGAAACAATGTCAAAGTGCTTGGGATGTGCACTCCAATGCTTAAGTCAACAAGCTGCGAAATTTTGAGAGAACTAAAAGCGAGAGAGAAAGAGAGCTGCAAGAGCTAAATTGTGCATGTCTTCTGAGGTTGGAGGTAAGACTCTTATATAGGCACTATTTGGCATGGGCTTCACGCACCACGTCCGAGATCTCCGGGAAGATGTGCCTAACCGGTCCAAAGTCCTCAGAGGTAGTCATGCATGTAGACCAGTCTTTGCGCCTTATTCGGTTTCCTCCAGAACATTCGGTGTGGGAGCTAACTTCTGAGAGACCCGGGAGTGATGGGATGCATGTAGAATTGGTCGAAAAATCACGTTTCGCAGGTTGCCRCCTGGACCCCAATCAGGTCGGCAAGCCATCGAGAGAAGTCACTCCTCACGTCAAGGTCACTTTGGCCGATACTGACGAGGTACCACAGGTTGGCCCTAGACGAGGTGCTGCTAGCCACCCTGAGTTGTGGACGAGTTTGCCAGGTCGGCAGAGGTAGGTTGCCAGGTTGGTGGCAGTAGGTCGCCAGGTTGGCAGAGGTAGGTCACCAATTTGGCGGAGGCAGGTTGCTAAGTCTGCGGAGGTAGGTCGCTAGGTCGGTGAAGGCAGGTCACTAGGTCGGCGGCGGAGGCAAGTCGCCATGTCAGTGGTGACAAGTCGCCAAATCGGTGGAGGTAGGTCACCAGCTGGGACCATCATTTTGGCTAAGGCAAGTCATCGCCTAGGTGGTTTTGGGGTGTCATCCAACTGTTCTGAGATGCCATGTGTCATGATGTTTGTGGAGGGCCAAATCTACCCTCATCAATTGCCCCCCACTCCCGAGCTGAGGTCAGCTCGGCAAAGGGAGTAGCTTGTTGTAGGTCCTTTGGCTCGGAGTGACTAGTTTGATGAGCTCATAAGCATCGGCCCAGGTGATTAAAGCGGTTATAATTTCAGCTATCAAAATGATGCCGAGCTGGATAGATGGGGGTCAACTTGCATAGGTCGGCCTACCTGTTACTAACACATTCGAGGTTGCCTTAGGAGGCCTTGACGTTGAAAGCGATTTGGCTTCCCCTTGTGATACATGTGTCGCTGTTGGCATATTAATAGCAAGTCAGTGCCATGGCTGCAATACGTCAGTCCTTTGAGGTGTTGGTCGTCTACTCCTATGATAAGCCACAGGGAGCTCAACCTGCGGGGGCAGCTCTATTAAGTGCATGTTGCCAAATCGCATAGGAACCTCGAAAGGCTTGACCCACAAGGGTGACTAAAGTTCATTGGCCGTTGACTTCCACATGAGCTGCGAAAGGGCTCGACCTGTAGGGGCAACCTCACGAACAAGGCTGACGAGGTTCATCCATGCTTGATTACGTGTGTTGCAAGTTAGCTTGTTTAGGTTGCCAAAGTGAGTCTTCGAAATTTTGACAGTCCAGTTGGCTCTCAGCACCTCAGCCTACAAATACTTTGTTACCTTGGCAGGGCTGACCTACGAGGGCGACTCTACAACCTGCTGGCCATCAACTCCCACGTAAAGCATGGAGGGCTCGACCTGCGAGGCAGCCTCACAGTTTGTTGGCTATCAATTCCCATGGGAACCATAGAGGGCTCAACCTGTGGGGGTGGCCTCACATTCTGTTGGTCGTCAACTCTCGCAGAGAGCATGTAGGACTCGACCTATGGGGGTGGCCTTACAATTAGGGAAATTTTGTCCAGGCAAGACTACGAGAACTTGTCTGGGCTAATCATTTTGATTCCGCACCCTGGGGCGTTCCTTTGGTCCATGCATTGTTGTTGCTGCTTGAGGATGCCATTATTTGAGGCTTAGAGAACGGGTGAGAACTTAGCTTTTGTGTAGTGGTTCCCATAGACAGTTCCAATTGATGATGTGCATTTTGGCAGCTCTCGGCTGGCAAGTGACTTGGATGCCTAGCTAAACAGTTCCTAGCTGGAAGGTGGCTCATACGCCTAACTGAACAGTTTCTAGCTGGAATGTGGCATGGATGCCTAGATGAATAATGACGAGTTGTATAGTTTACTAGGGTGACCTGCAAGGAAACAATGTCAAAGTGCTCTGGTTGCTTTACTCGGGATGGGCATTCCAATGCTTAAGTCAGCGAGCTGGAGATTTTTGAGAGAGCTAAAAGCAAGAGAAATAGAGAGATACGAGAGTTAAATTGCACATACCTTTTGAGGTTGGAGGTAAGGCCCTTATATAGGCATTATTTGGCATGGGCCTTACGCACCGGGTCCGAGATCTCCAGGTAGACGTGGCTAACTAGTCCAATGTTCTCTGAGGTAGTCATGCACGTAGACCAGTCTTTGCGCCTTATTCAGTTTCCTCTAGAACATTCGATGTGGGAACCAACTTCTGAGAGACCCGGGAGTGACGAGATGCATGTAGAATTGGTCGGCAAGCATGTCTCGTAGATCGCCACCTGGACCTCAATTAGGTCAGCAAGCCCTCGAGGGAGGTCGCTCCTTACGTCGAGGCCACTTTGGCTGGTACTGACTAGGTACCACAGGTCGGCCATGGATGAGGTGTTGTTAACCGTCCTGAGTTATAGACGAGGTCACCAAGTCAGTGGAGGTAGGTCGCCAGGTCGGCAGTGGAGGCAGGTCGCCAAGTCAGTGGAGGTAGGTCGCCAGCTGGGACTCCATCATTTTGGCTAAGGCAAGTCATCGCCTAGGTGGTGCCGGGGTGTCATCCAGCTGTTCTAAGCTGTGTGTCATGATGTTGGTGGAGGGCCAAATCTGCCTTCATCAATAACAAAAACATTGGGAGTACAAATGATTTGTACTAAGTGTGAAGCTGGTTCCATTGAGTTAAAAATGAATAACAAATGCTAGACAAAGCAAAACATGAATGATAAGGTATTGGGCAATTGTCATTCATGATGGGCTCAATCCAAGTGATAGGTATTAGATAGTGTATGCATTTAACTCAAATAATATTAATGTATTCTAACATTTATTAGTGAATAAAATAAAATCATTATTATTTCATGTGTGTTTTGGTATATTTGTATAAAAAGTAACATTTCAAATTACATTTTTTGCCTTTACAATTAGAGAGAGACCAAATTCTAGAATAGGAATATTCGATATGTTTGTTAAAAAATATAGATAGACGTTGATACTTGGATCACATGTCTAGGTGATCTTTTGCGGAATGTGGACTATTCTAACAACCTTATGAAGATATTGAGCTAGGTCCAAAGTATCGCAATGTATTAGTGTATATTTGACCGATATATGTCAGTTTTTACGGTCACCAATATGCTAAATAACAAGAATTAGTTGTTTTTAATTACTTTAAGCACCCTCTTGGTAAATTATCAGCATATTGAGAGTTTCATACTTGGATCACCGGCTTTCTGTTAAGCCCAAATTTGGTGAAAACCCAGATAAGCCCAAATTTATTGTTATTTAAATGAAAATCGGCTTTCTGTTGAAGCTTCTGCGACTGTTTGGAAAGGTTTCCTTGTGGTGGCTTATTGGTTTTGTGTGAAATGTATTTGATGATGCGTGATCTGGTTGCTCCCTTGTGTCTAATGACTGGGCTCGAATAAGGTCCCGATCTAGCAGTGCCGTTCTGCACGGCCGTGCTAATGTTTGTGTGTCCGTGCTGAAGAAAGCTGTAAAGGGAGATGGGTGAGAGTGCCCAGGTAGGTTTTACTCAGGGAGAGCACTTAAGTTAGTATGGGAATCTCATGAGAATGTGTGAGAGAGCTTAAGTATATTAGTGCACATACCTTTTCTAGGTGGATTCAGAGTCCTTTTATAGTTTATCCGGGGTTCATGTGTCTGGGCAACGTCTCTTAGCCTTTGGCGGAGCTGTTTCCCCAATATAAGGCGTGTTAATGTGTCAGTTACTAGATTCGCACGACGGTTACAGATCGCTTGCTTAACTTGTGACGCACAGTTCGGCGAGCCATTCCCATGGTCGCTATATTGGCGGCCTTGAGGGTGGGCACGCGTAACGATTTAGGCGAGCTTGCCTTGCCGACTCCTGATTGTTCGCCCCAGCTCGGCTACCCTCTTGGCTGGTTTGTTTGAGGTGCTCCAGGCTGACCTGCCGAGCTGGTCTTCTAACATAGAGCTGTATTGTCGATAACGTCCACGTGTCGCCATTTGTATGGGAGGACCAAAATTCCCTCATCAGTATTTGTGCTTTTTTTTGGGATGTTAACCAAACAAAGCTTCTAGTTTTTTATGGTGTCTGGAGGGCCCACCTCACCTTACAACCACGAGGCCAAAAGCCCGTGTGCGAAGGACCCTCCAAACGGTAACTTAACTTTGCCCAAAGCAAACCGGTGAAAGAAGTTCAACCAAAGCTTCAGCCCACCCATATGGGCCGAAACCATCCCCTGAGAGGACAAATGAGATCTGTGATTCGCAAAAGAGGGCGGCCTTGGGTGTTTGGTAAATTGAGGGGTTGTTTTGGTAAATAAATTTCTGTTTCCATCAAAGTATAGTAGTTGCTCGATTTCGTTTGGCTTTGGACTCCAAAGGACCAAGCCGGGTAATGGAGTTCTGTCTAGATCTCTATTAACAGCGGCTTCGAGTCGACCTTGTTTGATAATGCATGCGAACCAGAAGTTACAGAACAACCGTCGTTCCTTCTCTCTTAATGATCGAAAACGATTTTGCATTTTTGCTTTGTAGCTCTACGGAAGAGATCTGAACGAGAAAGGAAGAAGTTTGAGAAACAAGAATGCTTCGATTGAGAGCTTTCCGTCCGTCAAGCGACAAAATCGTGAAGATTCAGCTACACCCGACGCACCCGTGGCTCGTTACTGCAGACGCGTCGGATCATGTCTCTGTCTGGAATTGGGAGCATCGACAGGTTTTGTTTCTGCCAATTTCCCTAATTATTCGCTGCTTGCTTCGCAATTTTCACTGGATCTGAGTTTTTGGATTTGTTATCCTCAGGTGATCTATGAGTTAAAAGCTGGTGGCATCGATGAGAGGCGTTTGGTTGGAGCGAAGCTGGAGAAGCTCGCCGAGGGAGAATCAGGTAATGCGTCCCTCTTCCTCTCTCTCTCTCTCTCTCCCTCAAGTACGCGCAAATGTTAGAGGGCTGAATTTGTTGGTATGATATCATGATCAGCTGATTCTTTTCGAGTTACATTCACGGGGCTTGTGTTATGGGGATCGTATAAGGCCGTCTATTAATTAACCAATTATAGGTCCATATTCTTCAAATTTAGAATGTAACCATGGAATATTCTGAAATTTAGTTGTCTAGATGCTGACTGCAGGTTCTAGTTTTCAGATTTGGGTATCTTATTAAATGTCTTTATGTTGTCAAGCAGTTTAAGAAATTAATTGACTCTTTTTTTCTGACGCCAGTTAATTAATCGACTCTTTAGAGTACGAGAAAAAGAGTATTGAAATATTTATCAAAAAAAAAAAACAAAGAGTATTAAAATATTTTGGTTATTATGAAGTTTGTATATCAGTAAGTCTCTCTCTCTCTCTCTCTCTCCACATAAACGATGCTTATAATAAATAATGTAAGACTATTACATGCCCAAGATTGGTCAACTAATATACATGATCAAGAGAGAAAAAATTATCCAAAAAAAAAGCAAGAGAGGAAAAGGACTGTTGGCCTAGCAAGAAGAGAAAAACATGCTGATCAATCAGTCTCTGACAAGAAAAGGCAGATGTTGGTTGGCTAATCTTTCATAGAAGAGATCAGAATCTACAAAATAGATGAAATGTTAAAAACTTTTGAATAGACATAACTTAAAAGTTAAAACTATAAAAAACAGTGAAATAAAAGAACATCTTGATCAAGATGCAATGAGACATAAAACTGAAAAAAAGTTGAAAAAAAGCTAGTAGTGAACTTGACAGACCAGAAAAGGATTAAAACCAAAAAGATACTGATGATTAGCAAAGAAAAAATCACCATCATCATCATCAGTGATTTAAAAGGTGCGCCTAGGTGCACAGGCGAGGCACATTTTAGGGTATGTGCCTCGCCCAGGTCCTCGGCTAAGCCCTTTCAAAAGGTACACGCTTGGTGCGCCTAGGCGTGCGTCTGATGCGCCTTGCGCCTCAGCCCAGGCATGCGCCTTTTCAAAACTTTGCACTTTTTGCTTTTTTTTTGACCTAGCAGCTGGGCCGGGGTCTCCGCCCTTGGACCCCCGACCACTCCGCTTCGGTTTGCTTGCTCATTGAAACTCTAAGAACCCCTCTATTTGCTAATGCTGTTCATTCATTCATCCTAATAAAATATCTTCTTAAAAGGCAATTAAAATTATAAAATTATTATTTTTTATGTGAGAAATAAGAACTTAAGACCCTAACATGGACTTGTTCGGGCTTGTCCGAGGGGCGTGGTACAAAGGTGACTTATAAAATCAAGAATGCAATATGTTTTACATCACATTAGCTACTTGAAGTAATGCAATTAAGGAAAAAGAGAGATTGTGGGTTTTACATGCTTGAAAATGCTTTATAAGTTTTATTTTATTTTTAAATTTTCATTTGAATATGCTTTACAGTTATGTTTATGTATTTTAATTTTAGATAATAGGTTTTTTTAAACATTTATTTTAAAATTTAAGTTTATATTTTTATTAATATTATGTTTATTTTTTTTTTTTGAATTTTTAGCATTTTTTTTTTGTATTTTTGCGCTTTGCAAAAAGGCGCACACCTTGCTTTGCGCCTCAGGCGCAAATTGGCCCTTGCGCTCTTAAAACACTGATCATCATCCAAGCCTTATCCCAACCATATGGGGTCAGTACATGAATCATGTTTTACCAATCTGTTTTGTTTAATGCCAATTAACAAAGAAAAAATCATCATCATCATCATCATCCAAGCCTTATCCCAACTATACGGGGTACATGAATCCTGTTTTGGCAGTTTGTTCTGTTTAATGCCAATTAGCAATGAAAAAAGCATGAAAAGGAAAATAATAAAATGATGAAGCATTAAAGTATACAATTAGTTACACTAATGCTGTATGTTGTTGAGTCTGAACCTAAGACAAATAACATGAATAAGGACAGTGTTTTTGAAAGAAAACAAGTGAGATGCATCTTAAAGCATGTGCCTTGTTTGAATCCAACTATCCAAGTTCAAAAGGTACATCATGGTTTTCAAGGCATTACCTAGGTTACTAGGCGCCTTTGACTAGGTGCCTTGCCTCAATGCCTTGACTTATAGCAACAAGGTGCCTGTCTAGGCAACTAGGCACCTGCCTAAGTGACTAAAGTGACAAGGCAGGTGCCTTGTTAAAATATTATTCATATTGCTACATCTTGATATGTTTTTTCATATATTCTATTATATGCTATATATCATTTATACTTTGTTTAAATGTTTTACCATTGAAGTTTAAAAGATCCAACTTCCAAGGCTTTTGAGAAGAGAAAAAAGAAAGAATAGAAGTATAAAGAGGTTTTTTTTCTCCCGTCTCTTACATTAAATAAAACAGTGGCTCCACCCTTTCTTTTTCTCTTTTACTTACTTTCTATCTTAAACTTTTATCATATAAAATTACAAGCTTTTTTTTGTTGCTAATTTGTTATGAAATTTCATTATTAAATACTTATTATATTTGAGAATGTTGAAATTAATGTCTTAAGATATGATGATTTGCCATATTTCCAGAGGAAATTTAATATTTTTAATAAAGGTATTTTTTTTTAACTTTTGTAATTACTAATTAATATAAATGATGGTTGGTAAATACTATATAAAACTAGTGAATTAACCAAAATTTTTTATTTTACAAAATTCTTGTCATCTAGGCGGCTAGGTACCTATTGGCATATAAAACTATAATGGAAGGTGCCTTGCCTTAGGCACCTAGGTGTATGGTTGGCACTGTCTAGGATCGGGTTCAAAGTATTTTCAAAGTACTTGAGCCTTGACAAGTGATATATAACTTGGACAGGGGTGGGAAACTTTGTGAGGTGTGACCAAGGTTGTATAATTTGAGTGAAAAGAACATAACAGTTTCTCAATGCTTTGTGGTGAGGCAGGGTGTGGTGGTGTAGGGGTTATTGGTTTTGACTTTTGAGGTGGGCCAGGAGGGTGAGCATGAGGAGATTGGAAGGAGGAGGGGTAACAGATAAGGGTGGGGAGTTTGAATGTGGAAATAAGAACTTAGAAGACCAAGAGAGGGTGGTACAGGAGGAGGGCGGGGGGGAAGCAGCCTCAACGGTGAAGGGGTGATAAAGGGGAACTGACCAGAGATGAAAGTAAAGAGGCAAATATTTATAGCAGAAGAAGGAAGTAAGAACTTAGAAGTGAAGAGGCGAATATTTTACATTTATAACAGAGTTTGAATGTGGAAATAAGAACTTAGAAGACCAAGAGTGGGCGGTACAGGGGTGGGAGAGGGGGGGGGGGGAAGCAGCCTCAACGGTGATAAAGGAACTAGAAGGTAAGGTGATAGAGTGGAACTGACCAGAGATGAAAGTGAAGAGGCAAATATTTATAACAGAAGAAGGAAGTATAGAACTAAACCTATTGAATTTGGTGGGGATAAGGAGGAAGCTTCGGGGGAAGGGGAAGAAGGTTGAGTGGTGATAATAGATGAAACACACGAAATTCAGATTTCAGAAAGAGATTGATTTAGAAGAAGTGGTAAACAATTAGGTGAAAGTAAGAAAGATCCTGGGACTGTTTTTCTAGGGAGGTGACGAGTTTGCAAAGAAGGCATTTAGAGAGTTGGAGGAGAGGGAAAGGAAACAGGATAATTTTCTCAAGGAGCCAGTAGATTTTAAGTTGGAAGCAGAGGAGTTTCAAGAAAGAACAAAAATCATTTGGAGTGATGGGAGCTGTAATAGAAGAAAGTAGTGAAGAGATGGAATTTAAAATTTTTGAGAGGAATATGGTTTTGGAATTGGAAATGATCAACGCTAGTACTAAAGAGGCAGAGGTTTTGAAGAGGTTTCCTAATGCAGTAAGATGTTTCAGAAGGCACAAAAAATTGAGTTACACAAGTATTTAAAGTTTTCACTAGGCTGAAGGGAGGTTTATTTGGGATTGGGCCTATCAAAGGCCAAGAAATCCAAAAAAGTTGTGAAGAGAAGTTAGGAGGTTATTGTATCTTGTGGTGGTTCTTTTGGTTATAAGATTATTGGGTTGTTTGGATGGTTGTAATTTTTGTTTTGCACTTGATATTCGGACTTGGTTGTAAGGTGGGACTGGTTTATTCTTGGGTTGTTTCTTCTCTCAGGTGACTTCTGATCACCTTTCTTGTACTTTTTTTTCTTTTAAAAAAAATGATTTTATTATCAAAGAAATGTTGCTGCCCAAACTACAAGAGGTAGAGATTAGCTTGGAGAGGCCAGGTGCAAGGTGGTGGAAGGAATGTAAAAATGGTAGATTTTCGGTGAAATCATTTTATAATGTTTTGGCAAGGAATCAAGTTGAAAGATACTGTGAAGGGCATGGGTAATCCTATTCCTCCAAGGGTGGAAGCTTTCGCTTGGTTGGTGGCCATGGACAATATTCTTACTCAAAATCATCTGAAAAGAAAGGGGTTTCAAATGGCTAGTAGATATATGTTTTGTGAATCAGCTGGGAGGAGGATGTTCTTCATTTTTTTTTTTGTTGCGGCTTCACAAAACTTATTTGGGGTTTCTTTTTCCGGCTTGCCAGCATGGAGAACTGGGATCCACAATTCCCTAGTGACATCTTTGCTAGTTGGCCTGTTCTACATGGAAACAGAAAAGCAAAATTTTTTTTGGTGTTTATCCCTTTTGCTGTATCTTGGTGGAGATATGGAAAGAAAGAATAGAAGGATCTTTGAAGGAAAACAAAAAACAAAGGGAAGGTTTGTTCAAGGGTATATTTCAAGCTGCTGGAATGGGTTTTGATCTTACCAGAATTTAGAGAAGTAAATAAAGAGTCATTTGTTGCAGGGGTCTTTGTTGGAGTTGGAATGTGTTAGGGAAGTGGGTAAAATTAATGTAATTTATGTTTGTTTATTGTGTATTTCTATTGTGGGTGATTGCTTATCACCTTTCTTAGATGTAATCTTTATCATTGTTTTCAGCTGATGTAACAGAAGAAGAGAGGAGAAGAAGAGAAGAGAAGAAGAAGGGAAGAGAAGAAGAAGAGGGAGACAAAAAACAGGGCTGGTGGTGCCAGCCTTTATATTTATACTAGGGCGCCCGTACAACTTAAAAGGAGAAAAAGACAAAAGTGCCCTTGTGGCACACATCTAATATTACATCACTCCCCCTCAAGTTGGGGCGTAGATGTCAATCATCCCCGACTTGTCTAGATCATAATGCCGCAAGGAATTCAATCCCATGGTACAAACATCTACAAATTGTTCTTCTGAGCTGATGTAAGGGGTGCAAACTTCTCCCTGAAAAAATGCTTGTCAACTTCAATATGTTTGGTTCTATGATGGAGAAATGGATTTGCAGCAAATCTGATAGCTGCTTTGTTATCACAATAGAGTGACATAGGATCTTTATATTGAGAACCCAATTCACCTAAAAGGTTCTTGCTCCACAGTAGCTCTGCAAGTCAATGTGACATGGCCCTATATTCTACCTTTTCACTGGATCGGGCAACCACACTTTGTTTCTTACTCCTCAAAGTAACAAGATTCCTCCTACAAAGGTGCAGTAACCACTGGTTTGGTCCCAAGACCAAACCATGCAAGGCAAGGTTGGCTGAGGTGAACTTCTGGGTTGGCCCCAAGATTAAATGGTCACAAAAGGAGTTGATAATAACCTCCTTGGGATCACAACTGGGGGGCAATCCTGGAACTCATGCGAGGCAAGGTTGGCCGAGGTGAACTTCTGGGTTGGCTTCTTGTTATGTTCTTGTGCTGATTTCTTGCTGAGTTCTTGTGCCCTTTTTGGTTTCCCATGCAATTCCCAACATGTTTCACGGGTGTCTGGATTTTTGGTAGTGGGTACACTACAATTTATCCTTATCATCCACCTTTTTCTGACTTYCCCCCTTTCTTGCTGAATTGGTGTTACCTTTCACAGCTAAAGCCATGGTCTCCCCCTTAGGAGGATTCATAGCAGACCTCCTACTTTCCTCAAACTGAACTAAAGCATACACCTCTATGTACCCGGATGGGCTCATACATGGAGTTAAGGTCAAGTAGGAAAGCAAACACTCGTTGCTGGGAGACCAACTATTTATAGGCCTTGGCATCTTTCTCACTCTCCCATTCAATGGTTTGGTAGTAATCCAATTCCTTCCAGATTGATGTGAGGCAGAATAGTAAGTTGATAAACTCCTCTCACCCTGCTTAAATGTTGAAGACTGTTTGCAATTGATAGATCCTTTGCATAATGTCTCTGTTCTGAATATGTTGCCTTGGCTTGATCCCGAATTTCCTTTGCTGTCTCAGCCCACATGAAATTTTGCTTGACAGATGGCAGCATTGAGGTCAAAAGCCACAGCATAATCATGCAATTTTCTTGATCCCACTTATCATAATCAGCAGTTCGAGCCTTAGGTTCTTTTGCTTTTCCATTTATATAATCAGCCTTACCCCTGTCTGTAGTGTACAGCTGCATCTCCTTGGACCAAACTAAATAATATTTGCCATCCAAAGGGGTAATGGTCATCGGAAAGTTTAAGGTCTCATGACCGCCATTCATCCCACCTTGATTGGAGGTGGTTCCTGAAGTTGCAGAATCTTCGGAATTCATGGGAATTCTATGTAGGCAGCACACACAGACTTACACAGTCCTTACTCTATTTGAGTTAACACAAAAAATACTGCTAAAACAGAGCACAGTCCTTGCTGTCACATACATTCACAGATCTGATAAACCCCTTTTTAAGGCAACAAGTACCACAAAAACATTTATAAAGTAAGCTTCTGTGCTCTGTCAGTCGAACCAGGTCACTTATGACCTACACAGGTTCCTTGTACATGAAGATTTCTGGGCCTTCATACCCACAAAGAGGGATTAACTCCCTTTATACCATTCGGTCAAGCAAGAAAGCCCAACCTGTTCTTGTTCTCGACACCTTGAACCAAATAAAAAAGAGGTTTAGCTTTTGTCCCTGTTCAGGCTGTGGGTTTCTGAGGCTTCCAACTCAGGTTTAAATAAGAAACACAAGAAAAAAGTCCACCGACCTCTCAAGGAACTTCAATCCGTCATCCACTGATTCCTGGGAGCTGTATTACTCAGTTGCAGTCCAGAAACAGGAGCAGAAATACAATCAAACAGTCCTCAGATAGAGATCGCACTTGTCTCTTTCATTCACAGTCTAGAGAACCAAGGAAGGGCTTCAAATAGGAGGAGGGGATTTACAGAGCACTGTCCTGCTCTGATACCATGTTTTCAGCCGATGTAACAGATGAAGAAGAGAGGAGAAGAAGAGAGAAGAGAGGAAGAAGAGATAAAGAAGTTGAGAGAGACAAAAAAACAGGGCTGGCGGCGCCAGCCTTTATATTTATACTAGGGCGACCATACAACTTAAAAGGAAAAAAAGACAAAAGTACCGTTCCGGCAAACATCTAATATTACATCAATCATTTTCATTTTAATAATTTTTTTTTATTTACTACCAAAAGTAAGTTTTGCACTCAATTGCCTAACTCTACATCTGATGATGGATAGGGTTTTGTATAAATAACAAGAACTGATCTACTATAGTTCAACCAAAGCTAAAACAAATAACTGGTGAATTAATATTTGGCAATTCAAACTGGGTCTCAACCAGTATCAAGTGAATTACAATTCTGCAATTAGAACCAAACCAGAAACCAGGAATGGATTCTTCATTATCAAAAAAAAAAAAAAAAACAGGAATAGATTCTTTGAATTTTATGATGGCAAGACTAAAGAAAATAGCACGATTCAAATGGCATAGGCAATTCACTCCTAAATACTACAAAGAAAGACAAACAATTGGATCTGCTTTAGAGAGGAATATAGCATCACAGAAGTAGTATTATCAGGTTAGTGTGGACAAGCAAATGAGATGAGTGTTTTAGCACTTCACTTTGTTTGAACATAAGCTGCAATTTGTGGTTGCCATTTTGTACCATGGTGATGGCTGTTGTATCCAATCAAGGGGTCATATATGCTCTAATCCTCCCATTACATACTCAAAGTATGTAAGATCCCCCCTTTTTCTTTTAGTTCTTTTGTGACTGCAAAATCATACTTAAAAACATTGAGTTATATTGAGTGTTGAAAGGACATCTCTGTTTCTATATGCTCCCTTTATTTTATGCGTAAACTCAAGTCTGAAGAGTTGTAGATTTTACTAAATTAAAACAATTGAAAACAAGGAGTATTATTATTAATCTCAAAATTTGGATACAAAATTGGGCACTGGGCATATGTGTTGAATATATGAGCATAAGGTATTGATAAAAAAGAAAAGATCAAAACAAAAATATATGTGCATAAGGTTCTTCCTTGTGGATAAAGTAGGATAGTGGGACCATTAAAAAGTCTATTTGCTTTTACATTTATTTTTAGTGCTTGATAAGTTGGATGTGGACAGCTGTAACTAAAGGTATTTTAGGAAGAGAGTAAGGTCTATTTGATAGTAATTGGGAAATGATAAAACTAGACCTGGTAATTGTTCCTAATGAAGTGTACTATACACACTTGTTATCATGACCCTTTTGGATATGTGTGTTAAACATTTTTAGTGGTTGTATGCCATTTTAATCATGTTGCTTTCTTGAACTAAGATCATGATTATCTTGGTTAACACTGTATATCACTATTGATGTTTTTTTTTTTTTTTTCAATGCATGCAGAGTCTAAAGCAAAACCAACGGAAGCCATGCGGGGTGGGAGGTAATGGATCTGGCTGCAACAATGTTCACTTCTGGCTTTCTTCTGCTGAACCTTAACTCACTGTGTTTGGAACATGGGTCCTTAAAGTGTTAAGCAGGTTAATTTTTATGATGACGATGTGCGATTTTGGCAACTTTGGCGTAACCGCTCTGCTGCTGCTGAGGCACCATCTCCAGTGAGCCAGCATGCCTCAGCTTTTAGTTCTCCTGCCCCATCCACAAAGGGAAGACATTTTCTTGTCATTTGCTGTGAAAATAAAGCCATATTCTTGGATTTGGTCACAATGCGAGGACGTGATGTTCCAAAGCAAGACCTCGATAATAAGTCTCTCCTCTGGCAAGTTCAAACTTTATTTGATACTTCATTTGTTGAATATTTATGCTTGACTGCAGCTAGAATGTTTAATCGAAATTTATGAAATTTTTATCTGGCTCAATGCAGAAAATATTTATAACCATTTATCCAAGTAGGATAGAAACATGTGGATGCTGACATGCTGCATAATTAAGTTATACACCAAATTATTAGTATCTAACCATCAAGATATACAAAGGAATATAGTGCTGGCCAGTTAGCTTTCAGCTCTTTTTTTATGCTGTATTTTCAACATTAAAATTTATTTTAGAAGCATAGTTTTCAAGGCGCCAAGGCGAGGCTAGGTGACAGGGGGCGCCTTGTCGTCTAGTTGCCTAGGCGATGGATTTTTTATGTAGAAAACATAGATCCTAGGGTAGTTCCCTAGGTACCATAACCATATTTCCTTAAGAATTATTCATAATTTTTATAAGAAAAGTATAGAGTTCATGTTAAAGTATAGAAAATCAACATATTCATGGGAAGAAAAAGAAGGAAAAGAAAATTCAAAAAATATAGGGGCTGAACCCTTATTTTTGTTATAGGAAAAGAAGAAAAGAAAATGTGTAGTAGTAGTAGTAGTGGTGGTGGTGGTAATAGAAAATGTGTTGATTAGACAAAATTTTAAGTTCTTCCTTACTTATTGGTTCAGGTTTTAATGTCTTTGGGGGTTCAATACAGCATTTAGCAATGTTTATATTGATTAAACCCTAACAAATAAGAAAATAATAAAAAGAAATTAGTATATAAACACACAAAATGAATATTTTAGTTTAATAGTGCCTATTTTATAATTATAATGTTTAAAAATAAAGAATAAAAAAGTATTTTATAATACATAGTACAAAACTGTTTGGCGATTAGGCAAGGCGAGCCTCATAGGGCGCCTTGTCGCCTAGGCGTCACCTTGACAACTATGTCCAGAAGATTGCTCTAGCAGATTTGTTTTTGTTTCTTTGGGCTGGAGTAGGTAGGTTTAGCCTGCTTTATAGGCCACTGAAGAATGCATTATTCCACCATAGAATAAGAGTATTAGAGAATAAGAGATTTAATGAGCCATGAGCTGGAGACATCTGCCTTAAGAAGACATATTGGGTTTATTTCTTTAAGTTTCTTATTGTCACTTATGCTGATCTCATTATCCATGTTTCATCTACTAATATCTTGGGAGAAGTAATGTGGCAGTCAAACATAAAATCATTTTAAATGGATTTTGGTAGTGTTTAAAAGTTTATGACTGAATGAGGTCAGTTACCAGTTCGATCAAATATAGCAAGTAAGTGGCCGTTGATCGTTCTACTTGAGTAATTCTTGTGGTTGCAAAAATTTACATACTTGTAATAGAGGGGAAAGAATGGTATGATAAAAGGCTTCAAGTTTTTTATCCCTTTTCCCTGTGGCAGGAGAGGGCCTTGTTTGCAGATTCAAGATGATTCCATTTACTTCTGCAGAACAACTTGTTTGAACTTTTCTCACTTTCAATGTGTTGTACTATGTTATGAAGCAGTTGAAGTTATGAAGATTTTATTTCTCCACAAGTGAATTCTTTGCAATTACTAGGGCCAAGTTTTGGAGTGCTTAAAAGTAAGTGCTTATTTGGGTCAGGACCACACTATTAAGCACTTATTGGCGTTTGGGAAATAAGCCCGAAATAAGTGCTCATTTTTTAAGCCCAAATTTCTAGTTTTTTTTTTTTTTAAGTGATTAAACAATAAGCACTTGTTCTATTTTTTTCTACCAAAACTGTCCCCAATCAATATAATTCTATTAATGCCCTTCAAATGTAAAACCTAGGGTTTGGCCCATCAACTGTTCAGGCCTAACACCACTCATTAACAGTTTCCAAGACAACCTCAGGTTCTCCAGTTCCTCCTCTCTAGGGGACATCCCAGGCAATCACAATCCCTCTGGCGATACCAGCGCCTCTGCAATTGCCGCTTCCATGGGAATTGACCTCCTTATGTGGTGACACCTGACCTTCTCAACCTCTTAAAGTTACTGTATTGCATGTTGTCCTCAATGCTTCCCACTTCATCCATTTCCTTCAAAAACATCAGCAAAAAGTGTCCCAATTGCGAAACTTCAACAAAAAGCTTCCCAATGCTTCCCACGTTGCACGGTATCCTCACTCCTCAATTTGAGAATTCAGTGTTGGACTTCAGGAAGGAGATGAATGGCTTGGTTAAAGGAGGAGATTGTGCATTGCCTGCTTTGACTCGGAAAATAGTTGCAGCCTGAGCTATCTGACCAGATATTTGGATTGTGCATTGCTGCTGTAACGGTTTCTGCTTCCCACATCTGCTGCGTCTTTGTTGTGAGTTCAATGATGGAGCCAGGCACAACGATGATGACTGTAACGATTTCTGCTGTGTCTCCTCTTTTTCGCCATTAATGAGCCCGACCTCCCTTTCTTCTCCATCCTCCGCAATGGCTTCTGCTGCATCTCTCCTATTTTTTGCTGGGTTGAAGCTGTTGGTATCAGTAAACTCAGAATTTCTCTCTTTCACAGCTTCATTGTAGTCTCCGTATTTTGCAACCCATGGTATATTTTGAAATTTGAAGAAACTGAAGGACAAATGAGTCACAAGTGCTTATTGGAGAAAAAGAACACCAAACGCCCAATATGAAACAAGTGATTATTTTTTAAAAGGGCAGGTGATAAGTACACGAGGAAGGGTGTCACCACTTTCCTTGAAAGGATAAACACATGAGGAGAGAGGCACTTATTTGGCCTTCTTTTCTGTAGCAAGTCGCAGGTGTTAATCTTCCCAAGGAGCACTTCCCAACACAAGTCTTGTACTTTAGGAGGGATAGGTTTGCACTAGATTTCTTTTATCAGGAAATTTTCTCCCAAAGGTTCTTACAAGACAAGAAGGTTAGAATAGGAAGCACAGGAGAAAAGGCCATCAGGCGAGGGGAACCAAATTCTTTCATCTGGAGAGTTAGGGTCCAAAAAAAACAGTTTCCATCTTTGACAGTAAGAGAACAAGGTAGTCACACTCATTATCTCTCAGACCCCTCCTAAAACCTCCCATTTTAGACCAAGTTCTGAGGGTAAACCAAATTTTGAGACAGATTCGACCTTGTACTTGGATAAAGAGAAGAGTAAGGGAAATTGTAGTTTAAGTGGGAGATCCCCAATCCAAAGATCTTCCTAGAATAAAACTCTTTCCCCATTGCCCACATCAAATTGAGTGAAGTTGAGAAAAGATGGTAATACCTCTATTATTGCTTTCCAAGGGGATTTTGAACAAGCATGAGGTGCCAAATTTGCATCCAAGCCATTTTTTTGCCATACCGTGAATGCTTCTAATGACCTTGTGCCACAATCCATTTCTTTCTAGAGGAAGTCTCCAAAGCCGTTTTTCTAGTAGAGCAATATTTCTCTTTGTCAGATTCCCAATACCAAGTTCTCCCAATTCTTTAGGTTTGCATACCTGTTCTCATTTGATGAGATGATCTCTTTTTTCATTACCCAGTTCCTACAATAAATCTCTCATAATTTTTTCCAAAGTCTTTGCAATTTTCACCAGTACTCTAAAGGTGGAAAGGAAGAAGGTAGACAAGTTTGCTAAGGGGGATCTAATCGGAGTAATTCTTCCTCCCATGGAAATGTAACTCTTCTTGCATAAATCTAACTTTTTGTGACCTTTCTACTACCGTGTAGTGAGAATGGGCCTTAGTGTCTCTATTTCTTTTAAGTTATGTTTTAAGTTTATTTTCTTTTAGTTATGGGGCTTAGTTATGGGCCTCTTTTTTTGTTTTTATTATTACTTTAGTGTTGGGTGCCCCATTAAGGGCATCCAGGGAATTGTACTCAATTTATAATTAAGAGAACAAAAGACATCTTGGGGAGTAGAGAGAAAGGATCAAACTCTTCCCTTCTCTTCTTCCATAAACCTCTGCTGAAACCATTCTTTCTTCTTCCTTGCAGGTCTGTTTCACAACTTGGTATCAAAGCAGGTGCTCATTTTCAACATCTTTCTCCTTTCTTAGCCCATACATAGTGTGTATGGAGAACTGGTCGGCTGATTAATCAATAGCTTATGTAGTAGCCCAATTAGGAGGTTTTTTTTTGGAGATTTTCATCTTTATTTGAATCCCAAGCCAGGTTCTTAGAGATTTTTCCCAAAAACCCTAGATAACTAGAGAAAACTTGTTACAAGTCCTAGAGACTCTTTGAAGTTGGCGCTTGGGGATCAAATTGGGAACTCTATGATTTCTATTAAGGGCGGCTTGGGTTGGATTGAGTTCTGGAACCTCTGGTAAGAGTAGTTGGAGTTTCTCTCCTTTCATCTTGTTGGGTCCTATGAAATCCTAGTTTTGGGTGGTTGAAGAATTGTTCTTTGCTTAGAATAGCAAATCTAGCTTAGTAAAACCCTAATTTGATTTTCGTTTGCATCTGTTCACTCAATGGGGCAAACTAAAGGAGAAACCAAATATCCCACAGATTTTGGGTTTTAACATGGGGGGCCAATGGAGACTTTGTTTGGGGATGTGACCACTATGAAGTTGGATGGAACCAATTATTTAGCTTGGCCTTAGTCAATTAAAATACATGTGTGTAGTAGATGGGGTTACATTTTATGATAAATAATATCACGTTTCATTAAGATCAAGAGGAAGATACAATCCCTTGGATAGGCATGAGATGCTGCCTCTCCAACACAAGAAACCCAAAAACAAAATTATAAAAACTATACAAGGAGTACATGAGTGCTACTACAAGATTACAGTTTAGCCTAGAGCAGTGTTTCCCTATTTGTCCCTTGTTTTGCCAAAGTAATAGCGAGTGCATTTGCTGATCTTCCCACCCACTGTACTATAACAGACATGTTTCTTGTCAGCCATTTATACTTCTTTAACTCAATCTTGTAAATTGATGCAACCTGCTCTGAATTATTTAACCACCCCACTACTATCTTAGAGTCCCTCAATCAACACCTACTCCACACCCAATTCTTTTGTGAGGAATCCTTGTATGGCGACTAACAATTCTGCCCTAACAGAATTTCCAACTCCCAAAGGGTCAGAGTAGAGAAGGATAACCTCTCCAGCCTCATTTCTTAAAACCCAACGAGATGTAATTTTTCTTCCACACCGCTAACCTCTTAAACTTCTTTATGACTGGAGTCCAGGACCTACTCTCCCTAGGATTTGCCCCTGAAGGAAGCCCTAAGTAGGACATAGGCCAAGAGGAAGTACAACATTCAAGGCAATGTGCAATAGCCTCAATCTCCTCATTCTCCAAATTAATCCCCGCTATGCAGCTCTTTTCTAAGTTGATTTTCAAAATGGAAATTTCTTCAAAGGCCTTAATCAACTCCTTTAAGTTTCCCACCTTCTCACTAAAGCGTCCATCACAAAATATCATCAAGTCATCTGCAAACTGAAGATGGGTAACTGGAACTTGGTTTCTACCTATTCTCCAACCCCTTATGACCTCTTCCCTATCAGCCCTAGTGATAATTCAACTAAAAGCATCAGCTACCAAGGTAAAAAGAAAAGGTGAAAGGGGATCCCCTTGCCTAATGCACCTACAGCTGGGAAGAAGTCCCTAACCACTCCATTTACTAGGATGGAAAAGTGACAGTTACTGACACAACCCATCATCCAACTGCACCATCTTTCCCCGAACCCACAATTCCTTATCACCTCCAGTAGAAACTGCCAATCCACTAGATCATAGGCTCTCTAGGTCTAGCTTACAAACAAAACCTTTTTTCCTAGATCTCTTCATCTCCTCCACACACTCATTTGCAATCAAGATCTAATCAATTATGTGACATCCTCAAATGAAGGCCCCTTGGGCTTGATTGATGATGGAAGGGAGGGCTTCTTTAATCCCTAAAGAAAGGACCTTGGCCATTATCTTATAGATATTTGTCACCAAACTAATTGGCTTAAAGTCCTTAGGATGGATAGGGACTTCATTTAGGGGCCTACCTATGAAAGGGGGTTACATTACCGGGAGCAAGAAGAAATCAGCAGAGAATGATCCTAACTATGAAAGGTGGATGCAAGAAAACTAAACAATAGTGGGTTGGTTAATGAATTGTATGCAGCCACATATTAGTTAGCACTATCTGTGGATGAAAATTGCAAAGGAACTGTGGGATAGTATCATGGAGACCTATTCCCAAAAGCTGAATGTTGCCTAGGCCTACAAATTGAAGAATGATGTGAATAATCTAAGATAGGGGGAGAAGCCCTTAGCCGTCTACTTCTCCATTCTGAAACCTCCATGTGCTTGGTTTGACATGTTTAGGGCTGCTCTTGTTCAGTTCGGTTACACAGACTCAATTAGATCATACTCTCTTTGTTAAGAGGAGAAATACTCTGGTTACATTTCTTACCGTTTATGTGGATGATATTGTTGTTACTGGAGGTTCCTCAATTCTGAATTTGAGATTAAAGACTTAGGGGAGTTGTGGTATTTTCTTGGTAATAAGGTTGCTAAGTCCAAAGAAGGTATCTTTGTTTCTCAGCGGAAGTATGTACTGGATCTTCTTATTGAGACTTGAAAACTTGGTGCTAAACTGCCTCCACTCCTATTGACATGAATCATAAACTCATAGCTAATGATGGAGAAGTTTTAGCTAACAGGGGAGTGTTTCAGAGATTATTGGGGAAACTTCTTTATCTATGTATGACTCGTCCAGACATTTCATATGTTGTGAGTGTAATCAACCAGTTCATGCATGTTCCCAGTGACACACATATAGCTGTTGCAGAAAGGGTACTGTGCTATCTTAAAGGAACTCCCGGGAAGGGTATACTATTTGCTAAACATGGCCACATGAAGGTAGAAGCATATGCAGATGCTGATTGGGTGGGTAATGTTGATGATAGGAGGTCCACATCAGCCTATTGTGCTATGGTAGTTGGGAATATTGTTTCCTGGAGAAATAAAAAGTAGTCAGTGGTTGCTAGATCTTTAGTTAAGGCTAGAGTATAGGTCTATGGCCCATGGGGTTTTTGAGTTGTTATGGCTTAGATCTCTCCTTGATGAGATGGGTGTCTCATGTGACAAGCCATTTATGTTATATTGTGATAACTAGGCTGCTATTGGCATTGCTCACCCGGTTCAGCATGATAAAACTAAGCACATTGAGGTAGATAGACGCTTTATACGGGAGAGAGTGGCTTTAGGAGAGGTGCCTTCCTTTTATTACATCAAAAAAGCAGCTAGTAGATTTTCTTACTAAGGGAGTTCCGAAAGCAAAGCTTCAACATTATGTAAGAAAGTTGGGCATGATTGACATCTATGCTCAGCTTGAGGGGGAGTGTAGTGAGAATGGGCTGAATGGGCCTTAGTGTCTCTATTTCTTTTGAGTTCATGTTCTTTAAGTTATGGGCCTTAGTTATGGACTTCCTTTGTTTTGTTTTTATTTTTTCTTTAGTGCTGGCCGCCCCATTAAGGGCATCCCGGGAAWAAAAGACATCTTGGGGGGTAGAGAGAAAGGATCAAACTCTTCTTTTCTCTTTTCCCTTCTCTTCTTCTTCCACAAACCTCTGTTGAAACCTTTCTTTCTTCTTCCTTTTCTTTTCTTTTTCTATATTTTCTGAATCATTGCAGGTGTGTTTCACAACTTACCGGTTTCCAAAAACTCAGACCTTGGGTTACCCCCCAAAGGCATACCAAGATACTCTAGGGGCCAACTCCTAACCTTACAACCTAGTATTTCTGCCACCACCTGAATATCTTGTTCTCCCACATTAATTCTTGCCACAAACTCTTCTCTCAATTCACTTTAACATTGATACCCTTTGAAAACCATCAACTAGACGTTTTAAGTTCCTCGCACTAGATTCATTGCAGTCCTCACAAAAGATGATTATATCGTTTGCAAATTGTAAGTGGGTGACAACAACCTCATACCAACTCTCCAACCTCTAAGCAAATTATTTAGATGATGACTTTTTGAACCAAGCAGAAAATAGATTTTAGGTCCTTTGCTGTCTGTCTAATCTCTCTCATGTGGTTCCTATACTGCTATAATCCTTTACAATTTATATCATCCAGCCTACCACTATCTTAGAATGACCTTATTGCTCTTCTCTAAAAATCCTTAGTAATTGCATTTCTTTGTCTTTCTAATTGTGACTAGAGTAAGGGCTCTGCCCTTTCATTTTTTCTTTCCTCTGCAATTAAAACATCTGCACGTTATTTTATTTGTCACTAGAATAGGAGCTTTTATCATTCATATTTTCTCTTTCTTATACAATCCCCTCAAGTCATTAAGGAGGTCAAAATCTACTTAATGAGTTAATGACTTATTCACTACAAAGACAAAACATAAGAAACAAGTACTTGTTTCTTTTTTAATTAATGAACTCTGTTTTTTGCAGTGATTTAAAAGGCACACCTAGATGCACAGGTGAGGTGCATTTTAGGGTATGTGCCTCACTTAGGTCCCAAGAGCAACATTATTAAAAGGCGCATGCCTGGTGTGCCTTGCGCTTCAGCCCAGGCATGCGCCTTTTGAAAAAACACTTAAAGTTATAAAACCTTTTTTTATAGGGATTAAGAATTTAAGACGCTGATATGGACTTATTTGGGCTTGCCTTGAGGGGCTTGGTACAAGGCGGCTTGTAGAATCAGGAATGCATAATGTTTAGCATCACATTAGCTATTTGAAGTAATGCAATTGGGAAAAAAAATAATGAGATTAAGAGTTTACATGCTTGAATATGTTTTATATGATATGTTTTACATGTTATGTTTATGTATTTTAATTTGAGATAATAGATTTTTAAAGCATTTATTTTAAAATTTAAGTTTATATTTTTAATTAATAATGTGTTTAATATTTTTACTATTTTGCATTTTTTTGATTTTTTTTTGGATTTTGTTTTTGCATTTTTGCACCTTTCTTCAAAAAGGCATGTGCCTCGCCTTGAGCCTCGGGCACAAAATGGCCCTTGCACTTCTAAAAACTGGTTTTTCTGTTGCCAGTCAAGCAAAAAGAAAGACAAAGCAATAAGTCCTTCAGTTCAGCCAACTCAGCTGTTATCAAGCTGCCTGTTAGTGTTTGTTTCTTTTATGTTAGATCATTTCTGATGTTTTCTAGCTGCTATGCTAACTAAGGGAACTGACTAAATTCATAAGAGAATAGGGAAACAAACTAAATCACACAGTTTTTATATGAAAAGTATATCACCTAGGTGACTCCCGGGCAGACACCTGGTTGCCCATGCACTCTGCTGTTGCTCAGCCTCGACCTAGCACAGAGTATCTTAACAACTATGACTACTTGTGAAGTGATGCTAGATTGATGCTGAAATTTAATCATAGAGTTCCCTTTGTATTTATCATACTCCTTTTCTTGAAAGAATTTCTTCTGCCATTCATAAGAAGAAAGGAATAATTAAATGACTCTACCTAGTTTTCTGAGTATTGTGGATTTATAGGATTTTAAATCCCTGATATCTTTGTTAGTTTATAGCAATGCCTAACTGATTCAAAATCTCTTTTCGCTTTTTCAGTATGGAGTTCCTCTCTAGCAATCCCTGATATCTTTGTTAGTTTGTAGCAATGCCTAACTGATTCAAAATCTCTTTTCGCTTTTTCAGTATGGAGTTCCTCTCTAGATCAGCAGGTGGTGATGGCCCTCTTATTGCTTTTGGTGGATCAGATGGTGTAATTAGAGTTCTTTCAATGATAACATGGAAGGTTTGGAGGGTTCCATGTTGGTTTTGAGCTGTCATTTTCTTTACCATTTTTAAGTTACATGTGCTGAAATTTGTTTTTACAGCTTGTTAGAAGGTACATGGGAGGTCATAAGGGATCTATATCTTGCTTGATGACATTCATGGCTTCTTCTGGCGAGGTAGTTTTTTAGAATTTTATTAAATCAAATTACACAATGAAAAAGATGGGAAGTTCTCCTATTTTATTAGTCCATGTATTTATTGGTTTCTTTTTCTGTTTGTTGGTTACAAACTGAAATGTGCATTAAATTGAGTGGTTACTGGAGTTGATATCTTATACATACATAATGAGAGAGTGTTTTCTTCTTTTGATTCCTCTTCTAATTATTAATGAAATTCTTGTTTCTGTAAAAATAAGATTTTGACATGAATGGTATAGTTTTATAGTTTACTGATAAGAAGAAAATGAACGAATGTAGTTTGATTTATGGTAAACATGTGTAGATGATTGGTGATTTGATGGATGGATGTGCACATTTATTGATTGTGTCATATGAACTTTCTTTTTTTTTTTTTGATAAAATTGTGTATATGAACTTTGATAACAGATGTTGGTGTAGCACAACTTTATTGCATACTTGTAGACTTGTAACAATGGGAAGGTCCTGACAAGCACAAATGTTCTGGTATTAGACCTGTTGAGGAAGGAGAAAGGAAAGGAGTGAAAGAAAGACTAATAGAAATAAACAGATCCAATGAGAAAAAAGATTAACCAATCTCTCCCAGTTGGTTGCTTTGTGTAGATCACATAAACTACAGAATGTTCTGTCCTTATTGAGTATGGGACAGAACCTAAAAATAATAATAGAAAACTAAAAATTACATTACTATCCTTATACTCATCTGTCTAACACTCCCTTCAAGCTGGTGAGTATATCATATTATCCTAACTTGTTACAGATGTATTTTACTCTCACCTGGTTCGAACACCTTTGCCAGGTTGGGTAATCTGTACTACCAAGAATTTAGGCACAAACCGGTCCTCAACCTGGAAAGAACTCATTGCTACATAAAAAATTCTTCCTTTGCTGTTGTATCATCACATCAAGAGTCAATTGTTGGTACATTAACATTCTAAGATTTCTCAAATTAGCATGGTACTCCTCAGTGCTCAGGTCGCCTTGCTGTAATGTAAAATACTCCTGGAATATTTGATATACCTTGTAATGTTGTCTTGACCTGAATATAAATCTCCTTGGCTGTATCAAGGAACATGAAATTGACATATTTTTTGGTTCCATGCTGTTCCACAATCATGTCACGATTTGAGCATTCTCCTGCACCTAATCACTTTAACCACTTAACCTAGCTATGGGTTTATGATCCTTAAAATAGATTCTCTTAGTTGTTAAAAACGCCTCTACAGACCTTTCCCAAGGGGCATAGTTTTCACTATTCTGCTTTATAGATGTAATCTACACTGGAAATAGCCCTGAGACAAGCAGATTTGGTTTGAATCTATCACTTCCACTTCTTCAGGATGCCTTTGCTTCCTTCTTTAACACACTACACACATTAGCCTCCTAACAGCCAGGCTTGATCACAACTACCCAACCAACATACTTCACCACAACCAGTATGCCTTACCACAGTGCTGGACTGATTGTATAAGGAGAAGCAACTTCACAAATCACAACTTACTTGAACACCTCACTTGTTATATGTCATAGTCACCATCCAAAAAACATTAATCTGAGAAACAGCACCCCTGTTTGCATAGAATTACCATTTAGCACCAACAACTGATCACCATAGACAGCACTTCACTGTTACAAATGGTGACTTGACCAATGTTAGATAAGAAAGGGGCACTCGTGGATCTGATGTGAGTGCAGACTCTAAAATGGCTTTGATGCCATGTTCTCATATTAGACCTGCTGAGAAAGGAGAAGAGAAGGAATCAGAGAATCTTCAAAAAAAAAAAAAGAGAAGAGAAAGAAAGAAGAATAGAAAGAAGCTGGTCTGATGGGAAAAAGATTAACTGATCTCTTCCAGTTGGCTGCTTTATATAGATAACTCAAACTCAATTACATTTACTGTTCTGCCCTTATTAATTAGGGACAGAATCTAAACATAATAATGGAAAACTAAAATTATATGACTACTCTTATATTCATGCCATTTAAGTTGTAAGTTCTAACAGCACATTTCAGTTGGAAGGGTTTGTTGGTTAGGTGGTGTTAATTCAATCCTTAATATTTCAAGTTTTTTTATAGACATGTTTGGCAATAGAATCAACCAAGTATATGATGAACTGATATGAGCCTATTTCATATGTTAGAAACAATGTTTTAAAATGCGGAAGCGTGACTTGAGTTATTCCACTACCTAGAGGTGTGAATTGTAGTTCAGAACGTATGAGGCGTAAGCCTCCCGAACACAAGGAGGCGTAAACCTCCTTAAGAGGAGGGGGGATGAGGAGGAAGAAGAGGAAGGAGGATCTCATTTTTCTTTATCATTAATAAAAATCTTTTATATTAAGAAGAACGAAGATGCATAGCACTAGTTGCATTTTTTTCCTTTTTTTCTTTCTTTTTTCGTCTTTTCACATGAGGCACATGAGGCATACGCCTCTAGCATGCCTCATGAAAAAAGTGTATGAGGCATACACCTCTTGCACATGAGGTATATGCCTTATAGGTGTCAGCGCCTCTGGCATATGCCTCAGGGCGTTTTGGGGGCACCTCGCTGGAGGTGCGCTTCCATACGCCTCTAAACATTGGTTAGAAATAAACCAAGACTTTTTGTGGGAGCCAAGAGAGGAGAAGAGGGACCATAGGATAGGTTGGGAGGTGGTAACTAGGTGGTCTTGGGATTGGGAATATCAGGAAGAGAAATATGGCTTTATTGGGGAAGTGGCTATGGAGGTTTCCATTGGAAAAAGGAAAAATTGTGGACAAAGATAGTGGCTAGCATTCATGGGTTAGAGGACAATGGTTAGGATCTTGGAATTCTTGCAAGGACTATAAGTTCTTCTCCATGGAAAGCCATCCATGATCTTCTTCCAGTATTCTCCCCTTGGATTAAGTATGGTTTGAATTCAGGTAACCTTATAAAAGTTTTGGGAGCAAAGTTGGGTTGGGGATTCCCCCTTGATGGACCAGTTTCCCTCTTTGTATGCCCTGTTTGATCTGAAGAATGAACCCATCTCTTCTTTCCTTGTGCCTTCAGACTCATCTTTTGGGTTTGGGTGGAACTTGGGCCTGAGAAGGGTCATTAGGGACACAAATCACAGATGTACTTTGAATTTGTTAACCATTCTTGAAAATGTATTCTTGGATCCCACTAAGGAAGACATCAAAATTTGGACCTCGTCCTCCTCTAGTACCTTCTCTTGTGCCTCTTTCTTTGAAACCTTATGTCAGCCTCCTACTTCTAGTGGTCTGTCATTYCATGTTAAAGATGTTTGGAGCACGCCCATTCCCCTCCTCGGGTTGGTAGTTTTTGTTGGGAGACATTCCTGGAAAGAATTAACCCAAGTGGCCTGCTTTAAAGAAAGAGACCCAATACTTGTTTATCCCTACATAGGTGTAATCTCTGCAAAGTTGATGGGGACCGCCTACTGATTTCTTGCCTGTTTGCTAGAACTATTTGGGAGTGGGTATTTTCCCTTTTTGGGTGTAGTTGGATCCCCCCACCCCCACCCCTTGAATGCGCAAAGCCTATTCGCTCCTTCTTACTTTAGCTGGCCAATGTGCCAATGTAAAGAGGGAGGTTTATGTGGAGATGTATTAGGGCAACAGTTTGTTGGTCTTTATGGGAAGAAAAAAATTCACGAATTTTCTCAGAAAAGGAGAGAATCATTGAGAATTTAATAGAATTTATACACTTAAGGGTGGTACATTGGCTGAAATCCCTGGACCTATTCACAGGTTTCTCCATGGATGACTTGTTGAGAAATTGAAAAGAGATAGCAAACTCTACCCAGGCCTAAAGGGTTTCTAGTCCCTCTTGGACCTTTCCCCCCTCTGGTTTCATAAAACTGAATTTTGATGGCAGAAGCTTAAGGAACCCAGGGCTATCTGGTATAGGGGTATGTGTGTTCAGGAACGAGGAAGGGCTTATTCTAGTCATGTTCTCAGGCCCTATTGGGGACGGAGACTCTCTTAGGGCTGAGATGTTTGTGGCTCTGGAAGGTGCCCAAAGAGCAAGAGAGTTGAACATTAGAAGGTTGGTTCGTGAAGGTGACTCAGAGGTGGTGGTGAGATGGCTAAAGGAAGACATCATTGGTATGTTGAACTACAGAAATGAAAGGAAAAGATTTAAATGGCTGACTAGGGACATTGAGGTGAAATACAATTGGGTAAAGAGAACTGCTAACTCACTGGCCAATGGGTTAGCCAAGCAAGGGGTGAATTGGGGTTATTTGTTTTGGGCTCATTTCTAATATTGTTTCCTTTGTAATTTGCTGGTGGGGGAGTTAAGACAGTTTACCTTCCCCCTTGTAATTAAAGTTTCATAGTCTTAATAAAATTTACTGTTATTGATAAAAAAAAAAACAAAATGAAAATGAAGGGAAAGGTTGATAGAGAGAGTTTATGCATTCTACTTGATATAAGTTTGGCCAGGGGAGGTCTTTGTAGGAGTTAGGTATATAGTGGAAAACTCTCTTAGGATGGATCTTTTGAGATTTTGTATTTTTTTCGCTATATTGATATGCCACAACTTTTCTTGCCATATGATGTTGAAAGGTTTTGTAATGACCCTTTCCTTGTGGGGTTTTTTATGTTGTGGCATAGAGCTGTTGGTGGCAACAACACAAAGATCTTTTTGGGAACATAGTCCTATTTGTGGTCTGTCAAGGTGTTTTGCTAGAGAGAAACTGAAGGATCCTTGAAGAAGAAAACAAGGGTTCTATCTCCTGTGTCTTTGGCATACTGATAAAAAAAGAGAATAAAAAGGCAGAAGGCAAAGTGCTTAAGTTCTGAGTTAAACTAAGGTCTGAGGTTTGGATTCTGGTAACACAGAATTTGAGGATATTGGTAAATCATCCTTGGAGGAGAATTCTGGTTTAGTTTGGAGCTAATGGGTTTGTATTAAGTTTTTTTTTTTTTAATATGTTTTTTAATCTTTGTGCCAGTCTCCATATAAGAGACACCTCCTGGTGTTTGGAGGAGGT